GCAACGCAACGCGTAAAAATACAGTATAAGTCATTATAATCCATACTTATGTCCCCACTGGATGCAACGAATGCCTCGTTTATAATGGGTTTTCATGTTTTTGTCTCGTCGCTCCGGCCGGACACGGTATGTGAGGGGCGTAACATTTCCGTCTCATGCTTGAGGTATTCGGCCAATCACAACGCATTGGATATCTGGCCAATCAGAGCACACCTCGCTTTTCAGACCGATTAGTTTTGTAAAAATCGACGCGTTTCAAAAAGGCGGGGCATAGAGGAGAAACAATAATGTACAGTATGTGGAAAATAATGTGTTTTTTTACTTTAAACCGCATAAACACATTTCATTACACCAAATACACAAAATAATGTTCTTTTTAGCAGCATCATATGACCCCTTTAAGATGTTAAGTTAGTTATCTTACCAAAAAAAAAACTGTTGCTCGCCATGATACAACCTGGCTCGCTCTTCTGTCAGACTGCAGCAGCAGTGGCGGGGATTCTCCAAGTAGATATAACTGCAGACCGGAGATCTCCAAAATGGGGCGTGAACTCCAAAAGTGGGCAGAACCTCCAAAATGGGGGGGGGTCTCCTCACGCAAAGACTTTCACCATTGGCTCTGGCTCCAGCCAATTGTTATTGACTTACATTTCAAAATAAAACTTTATAAATTAAACATTGTTTCTAGTTGATCTAAAATAAAATATGCTATATAAGTAAATATTCTCCGTGAGAGCAGAGCCCAAAGCTTGTGGCCAGTGGTGTTCGGACTGGAGTTTGAACCTCTGCTTAATGATGTAAACGGGAATCACCCACGAGCTCTCCTGCGAGCCGTCCCAGTGCAGTGCAGGGGAAAGATTTTACTCTATCCCTTTGTTCTAAGCAGCGGGGGCGTCCCCGGGCTCGAAATTCGCAGGGTAGGAGGGGGTAGTGACGCTGGGTGTAACTAAAAAGGTGCCATTGTCCGGTGAGGTCCGGTTGGGGAGTTACGGAACGATCTCATATCGCATAATCTTATTAACTGTTTATCTCCTGAACTGCATCTTTCTTTACCACGCTGTTCAGAGCCAATCCCAGCGTGCAGTCAATTTCACTGGTTAAGGTTAGGGTCAGGTGTGGGGTAGGTTTAGGGGTTAGCATTTTTTGTAGCATAATGTAGGAAATCAACACTTTAATTGACACAACCAATAAAATCTTTAGAATCAGCTGTGGGGTGGAGTTTGCTCTGAAGTGGATTGAAGGGAAAAATTGCGCATGCGTGTCATGTGCTTGTCTGTCAATGGGAGGAAGCCACGCCCTATTTTGGAGCTCCCACCCCGTTTTGGAGTTCCCGCCCCCATTTGGAGATCTCCGGGCTGCAGTTATACCCTTCTCGGGATTCCGGGGAAACGTAGTGGGCGTGGTCAACCTGTGACTTCAATCGAGAGTGACCAATAGAAAAAGGCCTTTCATCCTGGTGGGTAGAGACCGCCCACTGAGAGACAGCTTCACTCGCAAGCAAAACTTTTCAACTTGCAAACAAAAGTTTTAGACCCGCAAAAAAAGACTGCAAAAAAGAGAGTCACATTTGTGGTATCACGATGAAAAGTGTTTGACGTGCACAAAGAAAAATAAAGATTTTCAAAGATTTATACGCACTGCAAATAATTTTATCAATTTCTTTATTTTTGAGCCTTAAGAAGACTTTTTTTTGCAATCTTTTATTTTTTAATTACAAAATAATTAGTTTTACTCTCAAACACATAATGTTTGATTGAATAATAAAGAAACAAAAATGATTCCATACCACTGCAACAAGGTTCTGAAAAGCTGATCAGACAGTGAGGGAGCTCAGCGTCATTTATGGACTCAAAGTTTGGAGAAACAAACTACATGTTAGTGTTATCATAAATATCTATATTTTGATAAAGATACTGAAATATCTGACACGGTTCCATTACTCATTTTCCACCGTATCTACCGAATATAGGCTACACCGATACAAGCTGCGTCTCTCTCTCCTCTCCGACAGTGAGTTTGACCCGCATCCGCCTCCTGTCAATTACAGAGTCTGAATATCCGCGCGGGATTGCAGGTATTCCGCATAATTTTAATCATTCCCGCGCAAATGTGGCGAGATCAACTGTTCAGATCCCAACATTTTTCAAAATATCTTCTTTTGTGTTCAACAGAAGAAAGAAACTCATACAGGTTTGGAACAAGTGGGGGGTGAGCAAATGGTGACAGAATTTTCATTCTGAAAGTGAA